AAACACGAAGGATGACACAGAGATGATGTCTTTGCAGACCCGATCAGTAACCCCCCTCGGGTGGCTCCCAGATCCCGTGCCCTGGGACACACACGCTCCTGGGCTCTCGCCGCCTCTTGCAAGCTGCCTCCCAACCAGGCAGCGCCCCTGGGTTCCTAAAGGACTAAGAGCCGCCCCAGCCTCGTGGACCCCAGTCTGGTGACAGCTGTTGGGATGGCAGAGGCCCGTCTGCTGATGCCACAATTCCATGGCGGGGAGGGAAACTTTCTGTGTCTGTCTTCTTCTGCTGAGCATCGAGTGTTCGGGGTTCGACCCTCTTGAAGCCCAGATGGGTGCTTTGTTCCTCCGGAGCCCATGGTCACACAGAATGCGTCTGGCCTTTCCGTTTGTCGCCGGGGGAGCATTCTGGCTGTTTTCACCACGATCACAGTGCTGTGATGCACAGGGGTCCCTCTCCTCAGTTCTTCTGGGCGTGTGCCTGGGAGTGGTGTGGCAGGTTGTGTGGTGATGCTGTTTCATTTTTAGAGGCGCCCCAAACCGTTTTCCAGGGCAGCTGAGCCCCTTCCCATCCCCACCAGCAAAGTCTGAGGGGGTCTGGATTCTCCAGAGCCCCCAACACTCATTTTCCATTGGCGCTGTCTCTGCTGCGGCCGGGCCTGGTGGGTGTGAAGTGGGACCTCGCCGCGGTTTTGGCTTGCATTTCCCTGATGACTAACGAGGCTGAGCATCTTTGCAGGGGCCTCTGGGCCACTCACTGGTGTGTCCTCTTCAGAGAAATGCCTCTTCGGACCCTCTGCCCAGTTTTAAGTTGGGGGGGCGTTTCTTTTGGTTGTTTCTGTCTACTTTGTAGTTTTAAACTCTCCATAGTGAAAATAGACACAAAAATATTAGGTATTTTAATGAAAACTTTAGAAAACATGCTCTTTTTGGGGGGGAGGGAGTTTTTTCCCCTCCTTCTCCCACTTGAATGTCCCAGAGACCCTCGTAAAACCCAGCCACCACAGACAACCCATCACGCGGCTTCCCAAACCACGTTCATTCTCCCAACAAATAAGTGAGCCGAGTTGTCTCCCCTCCCCCTCACGGGAGGGTGCAGGGTGGGGAGCGGGCCTGGGACTTGGGTGTAGCAGAGGCTGGCTGTCCCCAGCTTTGTGGCTGCAGCCTGAGGCTGACAGCCCTACCTAGCAGCCCGGTGATTCATCCCCGATGTTCCCACCTCAATGTCTTTGCTAAGATTCCTCCAGGAAGGGAGGGGCCCGTCTGTAGCGGAAGGAACCCCTGGGCCCAAATCCAGCCACATCACAAGACTGGATGGCCAGCGAGACCAGCGTGTCGGTGGCTTCCTCAGCCAATGGGAGAGGCCTCACCGGGCTCATGTTCTGCTGCGGTTGTCGGGCCAAACAGATGGTCTGGGATAAACAGGGGGGTGGTGGCTTTGAGTGGCCTCAGCCTCCCTCTGGGTCTTGGAGAAGGTGGCGGGCGAGGTGAAGGCCGTGCCCGAGGAAGGGGCCGCAGTTCAGCGCCACACATGATCCTGCTGTGTTTTAGCAGTGGAGCTCCTGTTCACGCAAACCCGTGCAATACATAAGTCAGAGGGAAAGGCAGCCGCTCCAGCCGGGGTGGGGGGTGAGCCCCCCAGAGCCCTGCCACCCCCACGCCCACACCACGTGGCCCCTCCGGGACCTCTGGGTCTCGGGAGAACACGCCGGTCCGGTGAACACGTGGTATTTATATGAAACCGCTTGGGAGCTGGACACACTCTGTCTCTGCAAGCCTCAAGGTGGGATCCAGAGGCCCCAGGGAGGCCTGGCCGCGTGTCCGGCTCCAACCTGAGACACTGGCCCTACTCCACGAAGCTGGGCCAATCCTGGGGAGGCGGCCAGAGCTGGGGAGCTGGGCCAGGGCGGGGTGGCCGAGGGGCCTGGGAGGGACAGGTGTTGCAAAGGCTGGTCTCCCAGCTAGCCCTGGTCCCCTTGCAGTTGGGCAGCCTGAAACTCAATCTTATCTCCCCTCCCCGCCCTCCCTTCCCCCCACCTGTCTTCCTCCACCCGCACCCCCCCCCATCAGAACTGCCTGGCCACGTGGGCCCCGTGTAGCTGCTGCCCAGGCCCTGCTCCCGTGCCCCCCCCCACAAGAACTGTGAGAGTAGAAGCAGGCCCCGCCCCCCACCCCAAACACTACGGTATGGAATTTCCTCAAACCCAGATTGTGGTTCGCAGCACCATAACCCCGTAGGGCCCTCTTTCTGCCCAGGAGAGGCCTTTGGGGCTGGCTCTTCAGCCAGAGGGAGGGCCCATCTCTGACAGGGCCTCGTATGTGGGGCCTTGGTAAGGAAGCAAAGAAAGAAAGAGTTGGGCAGCGAATCTGACTCTGAGCTTTAGTCCCCTCTCTGCGCCCTGCGGGCTGCTTCGAGGGTTAACTGAGCTCACTCAAAATGTGGTAGGAACATTGCAATTATTACTACTTTTACTACTACTATTATTACCATGCCTTATTTAATGAGAAGGGCAGCGTGGCTTTGAAGTTAAGCATAGAGACTCTGGAGCCAAATTACTGAGGTTTAAGGTCAAATTCATTGCTGGAGCTGTGTGACCTTATGCAAGTTACTTAACCTCTCTGTGCCTACATTTTGTTAACCATACGAGGGGAAAATTGATTCCATCTACCTCATGCAGCTGCTGTGAACATTTACTGTATGTGGAGCGCTCTGAAGAGTGCCTGGCAAATAAATGGTAGGTGATACTGTCGTGTTGGCTGTTAGTGATAGTATTTATATTATTATTATTATTATTATTATTATTATTATTATCATTAACCAGACTCTGAAAGCCTTCACCTTGGAGAGCCACGATCCAACACACTCACCATCCCAGTAATGGTTCAGTGACTCAAAAGCTGTGTGACCTTGGGCAAATGACGGCCCCTGTCTGAGCCTGGTTCTATTCATCCACCAATTGTGAATGACGGTAGTTCTCCTACAGCACTTCTAGGTTGTCAGGCTTTGGTAATGAGTGATGGCCCATGGAAAGCTTCTGGTTAATTAGGCCCTAGTCCCTAGCCCTGCCTGAATTCAGCTCCCCGCCCCACCCCACCCCTGCGGGCCAGTGCTCGGATTCCCTCCTGCTGGGCGTGAGCGGGGGCTGCCAGGCCCTATTCTGGGGGCCGAGTGATCCCGCCTGCTTGCCGTGCCCAGCTTCCCCGGGGATTAGGTTTCTGCTGACGCGATGCCAGGCACGTCTGCTTCCAGGAACCGGCAGCCGCATTTAGCCTCGGGCCGCACATGAAAGGCTGCAGTCGGAAACGTGACGTTGTGTCAACAGGCGAGGCGGGTCAGCGCGGGGTGAGACCATCCCGGCGGGCCGGGAGGTTCACGCCCTGCCTGAGCACCGCCAGATCCCAGCCTCCGCTCCCCCGCTGCCGCCGCCCTGGGCCCCGGACCAGCTCTTCGCCCCCTCACGCTCACACCCCCTCCCCTGTTAAACAGAGATCCTCTTTGTCCCCATCTCCCTCTGAGCCACTTGGAACCTGCTGCAACTCAGCTAGAGGAAGGTCAAGGGCAAACGAGAAGCAGCAAGGGACGGCTGCCACGTGAGGGGGTTTGGATGGGGCAGATGGCGGCAGGGGGATTCTCCACTGACCATGTGTTGAACCCTCAAAACTTTTTTAGCGCAGGTCGCCCCAGCCACTTCCTTCTGTCCCTGCAACAGTGTGTCCTTGAGTCGGGGCTCAGGGGACAGGGGCGTGCAAAACCAGTTTGCTCTTGGTTTCCACCCTGAGCTGCAGCCCCAGCATAAACTTGACTTGTTTGGGTTTTACCTAAATTCGGTCTAGCGATTCATGGAGGAATTTGGGGGCTTGTCAGGCAGGAGGTCCGGGGAGAAAGAGGAACTTACAGACTGGCCCTGTGCCTGGTACTTGACACCAGAGGGGTCTCAGAGTCCTTCCTTTCCTAGTTAAAAGCAGGTGTGTCACCAGAGAGGTGACAGACCCCCTGCTGGCTGGTGAGTCCCCCCAGCACACCTCCTGCCTCCTGGTTCAGGGCTCCTTCCAGGACACCATGCTGCCTGGGGACAATTGTACCTTCTAGACCTTGCAGTCTGTACACAAGCCAGGCAATTATCCACTGTCACCTGCTGGCTCCTAGGAGACAGGGAAGGTGACATTTGAAGCCAACAGTCAGGATAGGCAGGTGGCGTCTTTGCCTGGCTGATGACTGCCCAGGGTGGGCCCCCTGCTCCGGGTCCAGACGACAGAGGGTTCTGGAAGATTGGGGTACTGTGCAGCCTGGAGTGCGGGGAGCCAGGTGCCGGCCACCAGAACACATCAGGACGTCTGGAGGAGGGGCGGCGTGGCACCGGTACGCTACCTGCCGGTTCCCACTTCCATTCCCATGGGGTTCTTTCTTTCTCAGAAGGGCACTTGACGAGGGAAAGCCAATCTTCCTTCACGCAGAAAACGCCCACGGAGAGGAAGTCCAGGAAGGATGCAGAAAATAATTATGGGATGTTGCCTTCAGCAGCTATGAGACAGGATGTGGCGAATCCATTAGATCTTGCTGGGCTCGAAAAATCTGGGCTGCCCCGGGTGGCGAGCCGCTACCCCGCGTCAGTCATGGCCGCGCGACCGTCAGTCATGGCCGCGCGACCCCCCAGGGCGGTGCTGCTCCGGGCACCCACCCTGCTGCTGCTCCCGAGCCACCGAGGCCCACGCCTTCACTCTTTGGTTTTCCTGCCAAGTCCTAGGGACCATGACACAGGCAGACCCGGGGTCAAAAGTCCTATCTGGTTAACTGTGGAAGGAGGGTTAGGGCGATGGTGAACCTCTAGCAAGGGGGAGTTGAAAAAAAACAAAAATGTACACAAATATTTACCCACTAAATCGACTCAGCTTTTTCGGTCTGACGGAAGACAAGGCCGGGGAGACGCTGAGTGACAGGGCGGGAGGGGAGGACTGGGCCACCTCTCACGGTCGAGCTACTAGACAGAATGCAAGGGACCCTCTTTCTCTTCCACAGGAAAAGGATTATTTTATTAAGTACTTTAAACAACTACTTAACATTGAGTCATAGATAAAAATATTTACAATTTCACACCTTCAGGAAGGCTCCAAAATATAAACACTGTACCTCTCCCTAGAGAAAAAAAAATCTTCTCTTCAAAAACAGGAATACATTCATTTTTCTCGCTTTGTGGATCAAGTAATTATACAAATAGACATCTAAAACAGCTTCCTTTTTTAATATATTTATATAATATATAGTTATAACAGTTTTACAAATAAAGGCAACGACTTTATACCAAAATAAAAACAGGAAAAGCAAGAGTGAAAATGTGGCCGGCGATCAGGCATAGCGCAGTTCAGAAGCTGGTGCGGGGCTGGCTGGGCGAGTCCTGAACGACAGACTCTGGACCAAAAATAAAACTTCTCTGAAGGAGACTGAACCCCCCTTAGCAACGGGGACCCTCCCTGAGCCGCTGGGCAAGGGGAGCTGGCCTGCAGAGAGGACCTGGTCGGGGGCCAGGTAGGAGGCCCCTGAAAAGCGAAGCCTGGCGGGAGCTCCGGGGTAGAAGGGAAACAGGGTCTAGCTTTGCTCATTGAAAGTAGCAGTTCGTCCCTCCACTGGGTGCACTTGGGGAGCTCGGGCCTTCGGGTCCGCACCTCTCAGACCCCGGTGAGCTGCCCCCGACAGCAAGACTGTCCTGAGGTGACACCTGGAAACAGGTGCCAGAGGCCTCAGGGGACTCCTTCCTTCCTCCTCCCCTGGCAGCTGGGCTGGTCAGGGACCCTTTTCAGTTCCTCAGGGAGCTCATCGCTGCCCAAGCCCAAAAGCCCGGGGAGGGAACTGCATTCTCCCTGTTGGTGGGGGCAGACCTGCGGAGACCTCCCCAAACCGCTGCCGTGCTCGGCCAGCGTCCAGCATCGACCACCTGGCCACCCTCAGAGAGCTCCACCTGGCAGCCCTCTCCTGGGGCGGTGAGTCACCGTGGCAACAGGAGGGAGAGGGGCGGGGTCAGGAGAGCGGGCTGGGCGCTGCACTTTGGAAAGCCCTCTTCTGAAAGTACCTTTTTCTCAAAGCCACAGACCTGGCTCCCGACGTGGAGGCTGACTCACAGACCGAGGCTTTGAAGCTTTTGGAAATCCAGCTGATTCCTATCAGGAGGGGGTTCTTCTCCCGGTGGGGTAAAGCCTGGCGGTCCGCCTCCATCCCCCAACACTCCTGCCGGCAGGCACCCCTTCCTGTGTCCCTTGGACCACAACTAACACATGGGCACCCCCCACCCGACCCCCCACTGTTGTGTCCAGCCTCAGCAAACCTTGCACACACTGGAACAGTCTCACTGTGCTCACAAACACACTTTTTGGGGGGGTGGGGAAGAAAAGAGGGTGGCAGGCGCAGCAGCAGGACCCCCGAAAGAGTTTAGTCTTTGGTTTCTAAGTGTAAAGGGGGTACCTGCTTCAGGGCGTGGAGCAGGGCGGAGGAGTCCAGGGCCGGGTGGGGCGGTGAGGGGGAAGGGGGTCTCTGCGGCAGGAGCAGGGGGCCTGAGAGCTTGTCCGGGGTCATGAGGCCGGAGAGGGCTGCGGCGGAGGCGTTGAGGCCCGGGTACAGCAGGGGCACGGAGGTGGGGTACCAGCACTTCTCCAGCATGGGCAGGTAGGCAGTGGCCGTGGGCGGGATCAGGTAGAAGGGCAGGCAGAAGGGGGGCTGGTGGGGGTGTGGGCCCAGGAATGGGGAGCCCACGGGGTCCCCGCCAGGGAAGCGGCCTTCCTCCTCGGAGAGCTGCACCCTGCTCTTTTTGGTGGGGGGCTCTTCGGACTCTTGCTTGATGGCCCCGATCCGCTCTCCCGCGGTGAACCTGTGCCCTTGCTCACTTTTGAGGTAGGGCTGCTCGCCGCGCGGGTCGCCCTTCTCCGACTCGCCTCCATAGCCGCTGTCGGTGTCTGTGTCGCTGCCGCTCTGCTCCCCGCCGGAGTGAGCGAAAGTCCGCTGGATGACGGGCACGCAGTTCTTGCCCGGGCCCTCGGAGCCTCTGGCCAGGGCGCCGGGTTTCTCCTTGAAGTCCTCCACCTTGGGACCTGGCTCCGACGCCTTCCTGGGGGGGCCCCCCTGCAGCAGCTCGGAGACCACCCGGTGCAGGTGGGCGACCAGCTGCGAAGACTTCAGGTCCCGTGCATTCTCGTGCTTGGCCAGGTACTGCAGCACCTCCCGGGCACAGGTCTGGAAGCCCGAGCAGAACATCTCTTGGCCTGCTTCGATGCTCCTCCCGGACAGCTCCCCTGGATGGACACAGAGGCAAGGGGAGGTGTTTCAGGAGGCCCGAACCGCCCAAGGCCCCCAGCTGCGCCCCTCGTTAGGACTCTTGCTCCTCTGAGTGTCCAGCTCCGAGAGTCATTTGAGCAGAGGAAACATGGTAGCGTGTGGAAGGATAAGAAATAATCGAATAAAAATCTCCCATCACCCCACCACCGGAGATAAAATGCATGCCTCGGCTGCAGAAGACCCCAGCGTGGAAGCAGACCATGACGAAGAAAGACACGTTATGTCCCCTCCCGTTGAGTGTGCAGGCTGTTCCTGAGCGCCCTCGAATGTCTCTGTACCACGGAGCTGATTTACAGAACATCAGTCTCACTGTGGCGAGATGGGCGGAGGCCACCTGGCCATAAAACAGGAGAAGGAGTGAAGGGACAATGTCACCTCAGGCAATCTTACTTTCAGTGACTTATAACCGTGACAGACATGCTGTCATCGGTAAACAGACTATTTTGAAGCATTTTCCATGAATGTGACCCGCGGCCCCCAGGAAGTTAGGTGTGAGAGGTCAGCTTTCTGTGTGCGAGGGCCGGGCAGACGCATGGGCTGGGGTTCGGGGACTCTCACCCCCCCAGACTCGTCGGGCAGGGCAGAGCAGAACGGCATGAGGGGTGGGCAGGAGAACCGCTCCCCAGCCCGTCCAGCGTTATCTGGAAGCAGTGAGCCGAGAGGGTTGAAGGTGAGTGAGATTCTCTGGAAGGGAGGAGAAACCAGTGACGAAACTCCAGCGGTTTCGCTAGGTTGCGCAATCCACCGAGATACCCAGTGGCTATTCAGGGAACCACATGAAATGCGGGAAAAACTCCCCTGTCACTGGGCCAGGACCCTGCCACACACAGAGCCACGAGGGAGTGGAGAGCCAGGAAAACACTGGGGCATGCCCGCGCTCCCTTCCCAGTGGAAGAGGGCCGAGAAACCAACTGTGGAACACCCACGGGGCGAGCGGTAGGTGCCTTGCCATGCTACTCGGGAGGGGGCAAAGCGCCCGGAACCCAGAAACTCGGAAGCCAGAATGCCACAGAAACATTTTATCATCTGACTAATAGGTGTTCCTGCCAGGTGGCGCACAGCGGCATTGCAAATGAAAAGCCTGACATTTCAGGAAGGACAGAACGGTGGCGTCTCCCCCTACGGACGGGCACCAGCCTTTCCGTGCAGGAGTGTTTCTTGGAGCAGCTGTCGAGCCCACAGGTCTGTCTGTGCTAGAACGCTCCACCAGACGCCAGCCAGACGCAGGCACTCACCGGCTTGCAGACCGCTCTGCAGGGCCAGGATTTTCTGCTGCTGCTGGTCGATGAGGTTCGTGAGGGCTTTCACGTGCTTCAAGGTGAGCTCAAGGACCACTGCTTTCTCCAAGTGACCCAAAGTCTGGAATCAAAAGAAATCCCCGTCAGCGGCGAGGTCGGACAGGTCTCAGTCTGGGACCCTGATTAGCACTGAGAAATGTCTCCAGAGCAGAAAGAGGAACACTCAGCTAGCCTACACTGGTTGGCTACACTTAATTTTAAAAAACGGTCTATTCCTCATCGGAGCACACACAATGAGGGCCACCTACGTGGGGAGGCGGTTTGGAAGCCGCGGCTGCCGTGGGAGAAGGCTTTGGCAGGTCGCCGCTCCAGCAGCCGCCGGCTGACTGTCCTCAGGGGAATCCGAGCAGGCCAACGCTTCCCTGCCCAGTGTCAGCCGGAGGAGGGACCTGGACCGCCTCTGGCAGCCAAGAGGCTTTCCCTGCTTCTTCCCTGACACCCTTTCGGACCTCGAACCTCATCCGGGCTTTTTTGCTTCCTCTTCAAATACTATTTACTTTTCCTTTCCCCAACCAAAGGCAGCCAAGCTAGTAAGCTGTTGGCTTCTGCTAAGGAAGGGCAGATGCGAAAATCACATACCAAAACAAATCCTCTTATTAAAAAAAAAAAGAGAGAGAAAAGGGGTTGAATAAAATCCGAGTGCTGGTTTACTCAAGTCAGGAAAACCCGAGAACCCTGAAGTGCACCAGAAGGGAAAGTCGAAAACTCACGGAACGGAAGGCCGGCTGGCGTGGGAGCCAACTTGGAGAAGTCCAAGCGGTTCTCGCCTCATTTGCATGAGGCTGCCAGAAAATACCAGCGCCGAGGAAGGGTCCCCCCACGCAGAGCCACCCGGGCTGGGACCCAGCCCTCTGCCCTGCAGTTCCCCGCGGGGCCTGCAGGCGGCGAGTGACCCCCGCCCGCCCTCTGGGCCCGGGAGCCGGCTTGGAGCGCCGCCAGCTTCTCACTTACTGTAAGTTTGAGATGTTCGGGCAGGAGATCCTTCAGCTGGGCGATGCACTCGTTAATCCGGTCACGTCTCTTTTTCTCGATGAGCCGGTGCGGCAGTTTGTAGGTCTCCTGCAAGGCGCACGCGGAGGCAGTGGGCACCGGAGCCAGGGGGTGAGAAGCCCCTTCCTGCCCACCGTCCGGCGCGAGGAGAGTCCGGGCTGCGCGGCAGTCACACCCAGAACCACCGCCTCCCGCCCCTGCCTCTCCGAGCCACTCGGTAGAGGCACCGGCCCGCACCTTGCATAACCCCTCCAGCCTCGGAGTGAGAAAACTTTTCTTGGAAACTCAGCGCGCGTGCTAGGGGCTGGGGTCCCCAGGGGCGCGCGGGCCTCTTACCTTGCTGTCTTCGCTGCGCTTTATTCCTCGCCTCGACTTGTACACTTGGTACATGTGGGCAAAATCCATCCTGCAGAGATAGGGGCCAGGAAGTGTCGTGAGTGTGCGTGCGCCTGGGCTGCAGAGCCCGGCGGGCAAGAACCCCCAGAGGCTCCCGGAGCTGCTCCTAGTCGAGATCGGTGCGGAACGCAGGGCTGGAGTCGAGGCTCCAGCTGCGAGGGGCCAGGGCTGCCCACTTACCCTGGTAGGTCTCCGGGTTCCCGTCCTGGCGCCTTGGGCAGGCAGGCGGGGGGCGGCTGCGCGCTGGGGATCCGCTCCATGGCACCGCGAGCCGGGGCCACTGTGCGCTCCTGTCTGCGGGAGAGCGTCGGGTGAGAACTGTCCTGGAGGGGCCCTCGGATCTCTCCCCGGCAGGGCTCACTCTGGGTCTGAGCTCCCCGAAACCCGCTGCGCTGCCGGGAGCTGCGGCGTGGAGGTGCTGCTGCTTCAGTTGGGGGCGTGCATAGCGTCTCCGCGGCCTCTGGCTCCGGCTCTGCGCGCAGCCTGGCGGAGTGTGCTCCCTGTGCCTCTGCGCCGTGCGAGCCAAGTGAATGAGAAGTGGGGCGGGCGGGGAGGCGGGCGGGAGCGCGGGGGGGCGGCTAGGGCGGGGGCCGCAGGGCGAGCCGCGGAGTCACGGAGAGGCTGCGGGCTGGGTTAAATGGGAGCGAGTGGGTGGGTTGGAGCTACGTGTTCCACCCTGTGACTCCAGGCACGTCTGGCCGCCGCCGGGGAGGGAAGGAGCGACCTGCCCGCCCTCCTCCGACTTCATCACATGAGGCTCACGTGTTGGACAACGCTCTGGCGGCTGCGAGGGGCCCCCACCCCCGGCCCCCAGGTGTTTGCGGTGCGGCTGCCTTTCCCCGAAGAGGGGGAGGCAGCGCGGCCGGGGTCCTGTGCAGCTGGGCGGGGGGTGCGGAGGCTGGAAGGGGAGCCAGGGGGTGGGTGGTAACGTGGGCGAACCTGCCCCAGGGAAATGAAGTAAGTTCCCGTCTCCTGGGAGGGGACGGAGGAGGATGGATCCGCCAGCGTCTGACTCAAGCCGGGAGAGGAATATCCCCTTGCTCGCTGCAGCCCAGCCCTCTTCCTCCTTCCCCGCTCGGCCGCTCGCAGGAACCGGCGCGCAGCGGAGGGAGTCGCCGGGCCCCCAGCCTTCCCCAGAGGCTGGGTTTTCTTCCCGTCCCGGCTTCCCTGCCCCCACTCTGCTGCCGGGCGTCCAGGAATTGCCCGCCGTGGGAGGGGCCGAGGGGCGGGGCGGATGTCACCCCATGGGAAGCGGGCTGGCGGCCAAGTGCCGGGGCAGCCGAGGCCGCCGGCGAGCACGCTGCGCGCACCTGACCGAGGAGGGTGTGCGCGGCGGCGGCCCCCCCTCCCCGGAGCTCCGCTGGCGGGCACATCCTCCGGGCCGGGCGCACCCCCCTGGATGCCTCGGTGCCCCCCCATCCCCACTTCTCTAGTCAAGCATGAAGAGCTACCGGGCGCAGTGCCTTGCGTCCCCTCCTTCCTCTGCCCCCTCCGGAGGGCGCCCGGGCCGCCTCCCCTCCGGCTGCAGCGTTACACAACCGCGGCGGCGATGCCTGCCCTGCAGCGGCCGGGGCGGAACGCTTCACGTGGCCTGGGCTCCGGCCGCAGCGCCGCCGGCGCTGTGCGCGGCCGGGGGGACCGAGCCCTGGGACGCGGTGTGCCCGCCGGGTCGGCCGCCTCCGCGCCTGCCAGGAACTTGGCGGCGCTGTGTGCGGTCCGCGCGCAGTGCGGGGGGTTAAGAGGGTGGCGAGAGGGACGAGAGGCCGTGTCCGTCACCGCGAATCGTCGCGTTCATTCAGTCTACACGTCTCGTTGAGCCCCCCCCCACTCTGTGCCCGCGCTGTGACCGTGGGAGGGACACCGGGGACATCCAACACAGATTCTGCCCCGATTTTAGGAGGACTTCGGGGAGTTGGACAGATTGGGAAATCAGGGGAAGGCAGCCTGGGAAAATTATATCGGGGCCACTGTCTGGAAGGGAAAAAAAAGGCTTCTTCTTCTTTTTTTTTTTTTTTTGCGGTTTTGTGGTTTTGTTTTTTAATTTTATTTCCTACGAACTGAGGGTGCCTGGGTAGAGGAGGGGGGGGAGCAGCCGTGGGCACAAAGGCCTCCAGGCGCCCCGGGCCTCCGCCCGCTGCGCCCAGGCCCCCACCCTGCCACCTCCCCCGGAAAGGTCCGGCCTCGGTGACCTTCTCGCTCAGCCCGGAGGCGGGAGCCGGCCGAGGGGCCGAGGCCGCGGCGCGCGCCCGCAGCTGCAGCCGGAGGAGGGAGCCAGTGGAAATTCATGACTAAAGCCGGGCGGGCGGGGATTTCACTGACCTCCGCGCCGCCCCGCCGCCCGGCGAGGTGACTGTCAGCCTTTCCCACCGCCGGGGTCAGTCCCCCGCCGCCCTGTGGGAAGGGCCGTAAAAGGGGGGTCGCGGCTAGTCTGGGTGCAGACGGACCTCGGGGGCGGGGTGTGACCTTCTGGCGCTGACCTTGACCACCCAGAGACCTGGGCTTTGCGCGTGGAGCGCCCTGGGAGTGGATTTCCTCCAGGTCGCTTTGGAGAGCTCCCGCTTCCTGTTTATGCCGCACGAGCGTCAGGCTCATTAGCAAGTGTGAGAAATGCCGGCTTTTCTCGGCGGGGACTGACCTGACCTCACCGGGGGGCCCAGCGCCGCCCCCGCCCTGGGCCCCGGTCCCGGAACGAGCTTCTGCTGGCTCCGGCCCGCGCACTCGCTGCCCGAGGGGACCCCTGCCCGGCCGCTTCCTGCCGAGCGGGCGAGGGAGGCCTGCCCGGGGCTTGCGCCTTCACTGCGGGCGACCTGCTTGCTGACCGGAGCGCAGAGGCGGCCTGACTGCGTCAGAGCCACCGTCCCCCAGGAAGTTCGCGCCCCGGGGAGCGAGCAACACGTGTCCCCTCAGCTGCCCGCCCCCGCTTCCGTGGTGCAGGGCCCCTGGCAACACCCTTCTCAAGTTCAGAAGTTATCAATACTTCTTGCCCCCACCTGGCCTACCACTGGAAGTAACAAAATATACCAGTTTCCTATCTTTTTGTTTGCTCCACGTATACCCCCAAGCTTCAGGAACTGTACCCACTTTGCCAAAGTTCTGTGGTGTCCAGAGTGTGTTATTGTTCTGTTTTGCTTCTCTCGATGGTTCATGATTACTTTTATTAAACAGAACAATCCCCTGCCCGCACCCTTCCGCCCTGAAGACCCTGGGACTTCGTTCTGCCACCTTCTGCGGCCGCGTGTTCGGTGCTGGCTGTGTGCTGGCTTTGGGCTGCCTGGCAACGCCGCGCGCTGACGTGTGCCCTGCCCTCCTCGCCACCTTCCAAGGCCCCTTTTTACGTTGGTGTCCCACGCTCCGACTGAGCACCACTGCGCGCCGGGCACGGACCTAGGTTCCAGGGAAACTGCGGCTCAGGGAGGCTCGATCAGCCGCCCCGGGTTGCGCAGTCTGGCTTTGGACTTGGACGTGGGCCGCAGGTTTGCTGGGCTCCGCAGCTCGCTCCGGGTCAGCGGCGCCAGGCCGGGCGGTGAAGGCTCAGCTCCCGGGGTAGCCGTGCGCACTGCGGACCCAGAGCCCCCTCGCCCCCTCCCCCCCGCTCCCCGGAGCTGGGTGACGTAGCTCCGGGCACGCCAGTGTCCTGTGTTGGGCAATTCCGACGGTGGACAGCCCACCCTGTCCTGTCGCTTCTCAGTGCGGGGAGCACCCATTGGGGACAAGGGGAACTGGTTTCTCTTTCCCTTCCCAGCGGGGCTCAGCGCTCGCCCGGCCGGCCGGTCACTGCGCGCTGGGAGAGGCCACGCTGCTGCCCCCTACGCCCCCCGCCCCTCTCTCGTTCAGAGAGCGTTTTTTTTTTTTTTTTTTGCCTGTTTGTGCAACCGTCACATTTTTTAACCCCTAATTGCCCAATGGACTCAGAGAATGTGGCTCATCCTGTATAACTCCCTCTAACGTGATGATAATTTTTGTTAATATTTCATTCTTTTTTGAGTTTTCTGACATGGCTTACACTGGTGAAATTAGCCAGTGTTAATGAAGATTTATTGTTTGAAGCTTTATTGATTATAAAATTGTTCTTTAGAGGAGTTTAAAGAATTACAAAATATTTTTTAAAGCTATGGCTAGTATAGTAGTGTTCTGGTGAACTTGAAAAAAAATTTAAATAAATTATACTGTGTACCCTAATGCATTTGTCCCAGCGGCTAGAATTCATGGGGATGCTTTCTACGCACAGTTCCAAAATATTTTACTTTGATACGACTTTAGAGAATTTGGTTTCAAAGTCAAGATTAGTTCATGTAAAGTCCTATCTATAGAATAGCTGAATTGGAAAAATCATTTCCCTTTAAAATATGTCTCCAAAGCCAAAGAACTTACATGCATGACCTATGGACATGAACTACGGGGGGAGGGAATTACTAGAGGAAGGGGGGAGTACTGGGGGGGAAGGGGGGAAAATTGGGATTACTGTAATAACATAATAAAATATACTAAAAAAGCAAAGTCTTCAGAAAAGACACATGAATAAACATAAGATTGTTAAATATGTTCTAAAGCCCCCTGAAATCCAAAGAAACTTTTACATTTGCTGGCTGCATATCCATCCCCAGTAAAATGAGAGCGAGCCTCAGATTTTTGTATTCCAGCTCACGGCAAGAAATGTGGAATCCTTCACGACTACACTCACACACACACACACACACACACACTTACACACATGCACACACAGTGGCTGGGCCACAGCAGGGAGCAACCACTTCCCACTCTTTTCTCCTCCCCGGTAACCACTGACCCCTGAAGAAAAGTTAAGCCACTTAGGAAGAAGCAAATCCCATACATTTCAGAAAAAAAAAAACTTCCCACTGAACAATACTTCCCCTGGATACATGCACTCTGATATTTTCTAGTCTAGTCGAATCCATTTCACTTAAGAAAACATTGATCTTGGCCTTCTCAACTGAGTTCACCTCCACCCATGCATCCTGACCTGCAATTTGAGAACACGCTGGACACGACAGAGTGTTGTCGTCCTGGCTTGTCCCCACCAGGAAAAACCCGGTGGCATCTGCACACGCGAAGATCCGCTAAGTCACACAGAAAAAGGCCGTGGGTCCCCCATCTGGGAGACGATGCCCAGAGGCGGGAACGACTCTGCTGAGCTCTGCTGCCTTGTGTGGTGGTGTGTGTGGGGGTGCGTGTGTCTCCTCGTCCGGCCGAGGAAGTTCCCTTCTGTTGCTGGTTTGCTGAGGCCCTTTATCGTCAGTGGTCGCTGAATTTGTCCGATGCTCCGTCTGCACCCGTGGAGGCAATCATTCCGCCCTGCTCTTCCGTTCTGTTCACGTGAGTCACGAGTCTGCGTGTTGAACCAGCCTTGAATTCCTGGGATGCGCTGTCCTTATTTTTCCTGCTGGATGTGATTAGCTGGTATTTTCAGAGAATTTTTGTGTCTATGATAGTGAAAGGTATACAACTGCAGTTTTCAGTTTTCTTGTATTCTTTGTCAGGTTTTAGTGTCACAATAATGCTCACAAAATGACTTGGAAAATATTTATTTTCCTGTTCTCTAGAAGATTTCATGTAAGGTTAGAACTGTTTCTTTTTTAAATAGTAGCAGAAACTACCTGACTCTTGGTTACTTTTTTTTGGTGGGGGAAGATTTTT